GAACCTTAGTCACTGCGATCGCTGGGACCGTATTCAAAGTAGATGGAAATTGGGTATTGCCCACCCGAAAATACTGCACAACCACGACGCGTTTCGATGTAATTTTTCATCTCATCAGGTGGAGACAGCAGGATTTGAACCCAGGACCATTGGAATAGCAGCCAACACTACTACCCCTTTGGCTACCGGGTCACGATGGGCAACACATTTTGTCACAACGGTAGATGACTAATTGGAGGGTCAAGTTTGGATTACACGTTGTGTGATTGGATTGCGACACGCAACCTCAATATAATGGACTGTGATTCACATTGAAATGAACCTTAGTCACTGCGATCGCTGGGACCGTATTCAAAGTAGATGGAAATTGGGTATTGCCCACCCGAAAATACTGCACAACCACGACGCGTTTCGATGTAATTTTTCATCTCATCAGGTGGAGACAGCAGGATTTGAACCCAGGACCATTGGAATAGCAGCCAACACTACTACCCCTTTGGCTACCGGGTCACGATGGGCAACACATTTTGTCACAACGGTAGATGACTAATTGGAGGGTCAAGTTTGGATTACACGTTGTGTGATTGGATTGCGACACGCAACCTCAATATAATGGACTGTGATTCATATTGAAATGAACCTTAGTCACTGCGATCGCTGGGACCGTATTCAAAGTAGATGGAAATTGGGTATTGCCCACCCGAAAATACTGCACAACCACGACGCGTTTCGATGTAATTTTTCATCTCATCAGGTGGAGACAGCAGGATTTGAACCCAGGACCATTATATTGAGGTTGCGTGTCGCAATCCAATCACACAACGTGTAATCCAAACTTGACCCTCCAATTAGTCATCTACAGTTGTGACAAAATGTGTTGCCCATCGTGACCCGGTAGCCAAAGGGGTAGTAGTGTTGGCTGCTATTCCAATGGTCCTGGGTTCAAATCCTGCTGTCTCCACCTGATGAGATGAAAAATTACATCGAAACGCGTCGTGGTTGTGCAGTATTTTCGGGTGGGCAATACCCAATTTCCATCTACTTTGAATACGGTCCCAGCGATCGCAGTGACTAAGGTTCATTTCAATGTGAATCACAGTCCATTATATTGAGGTTGCGTGTCGCAATCCAATCACACAACGTGTAATCCAAACTTGACCCTCCAATTAGTCATCTACCGTTGTGACAAAATGTGTTGCCCATCGTGACCCGGTAGCCAAAGGGGTAGTAGTGTTGGCTGCTATTCCAATGGTCCTGGGTTCAAATCCTGCTGTCTCCACCTGATGAGATGAAAAATTACATCGAAACGCGTCGTGGTTGTGCAGTATTTTCGGGTGGGCAATACCCAATTTCCATCTACTTTGAATACGGTCCCAGCGATCGCAGTGACTAAGGTTCATTTCAATGTGAATCACAGTCCATTATATTGAGGTTGCGTGTCGCAATCCAATCACACAACGTGTAATCCAAACTTGACCCTCCAATTAGTCATCTACCGTTGTGACAAAATGTGTTGCCCATCGTGACCCGGTAGCCAAAGGGGTAGTAGTGTTGGCTGCTATTCCAATGGTCCTGGGTTCAAATCCTGCTGTCTCCACCTGATGAGATGAAAAATTACATCGAAACGCGTCGTGGTTGTGCAGTATTTTCGGGTGGGCAATACCCAATTTCCATCTACTTTGAATACGGTCCCAGCGATCGCAGTGACTAAGGTTCATTTCAATGTGAATCACAGTCCATTATATTGAGGTTGCGTGTCGCAATCCAATCACACAACGTGTAATCCAAACTTGACCCTCCAATTAGTCATCTACCGTTGTGACAAAATGTGTTGCCCATCGTGACCCGGTAGCCAAAGGGGTAGTAGTGTTGGCTGCTATTCCAATGGTCCTGGGTTCAAATCCTGCTGTCTCCACCTGATGAGATGAAAAATTACATCGAAACGCGTCGTGGTTGTGCAGTATTTTCGGGTGGGCAATACCCCAGTTTCCATCTACAGTAGAAGTTTGCTTGTCTAGTGCTGCTACGGAGAGCAATCTGTGGATTTGTGAGCTGACAGCCATAGAAAACGTTCACGGCGCTCTCACGAAGCGTATATTTATAACTCAGAAGCTCTTTCATATTAAAACTTGTGCAAAGTGCTAAAGCTTATGCTTCTGTGGTCGCAAAGAATAAATTTAAACCTGCTTCTTCCCAATCTCGTGTGGCACAACGCAAAATTTGGAACAGGTATAATACAATCCCCATAAAAGTGTATTGAGTACCATAAAGTTGCCGCACGTTGTAGAGACGTATATACCGCACTAATATAAAGTGCTTCAAGCAAATATCTACAGATTGCTTGTACATGGTAGGCATAATGTTGTTCTAAAAATCGTTCTTGAGTGGACGCAGAAATGACAAACTAAAATAAGTCTCTTTAGTTTGCATTTTGATGTCAGCCCCAGACGCCCTATCCTGCTTTTGTGGACTGTTCTGTCATCTCTGGAGTGTGGAAACCAGTTAACCTGTGTCTGTTTTCTGGACTACGGCAACGCCTTTGGCTACGTAAATACCTGCAGATCTTGAACTGCTAATCCTAAGTAGAAAACTTCTTTCCATCTTCCCTGCATTAAGAGCTCATTGTATCGGTCTTATCAGATCATCCGATTGACAGGCAGAAGCATCTCAAATTCATGCACGATCACCGTTGTTCATCACGGAGCTTTTCTGGCACCAGTTAAATTTCCAAACATTGAGCGCTCAATAATAGAAGAAGGACTGACAACATTTCTGAGTTACACTGATGTTATTATCATAAGCGTCAATCGATCGACCACTGCCCCTTCACCTAGCTTACATGATACACTTAAGAATCTCGTATATTGGTCAAAAAGCTGTGCGCTACCACTTGGTCTCTCAAGGTGCAATGTTATCAGTTCCTCACTGTACTGCGGACATCGATAGCAAAATGTTCTCCAGTAAGGCCCAGTACTCAATATCAATGACGAGAGGTTGTGCTATTTCACACCAGAGGAGTATTTAGGTGTCAAGTTTAGCAATGACAATAAACCTTCATGGAAACCCGGAGGCTATCGCATTGCGCCTCACGCCTGCGAGCCTCATCTATTATCCCTGAGTTGATACTTTACCATGTCATTCTTGTGTTTTTGTACACTGCACTTAAGGTTTACCAGTGCTTTTTCCTGGTTTATAGAGGCCAGGGCTTCAGGTTAATCGCCAGGTCGTTAAAACACTTGTCGCGGTGCAGCGCTGTACCAAGGCGGACGTTTGGTTATAGACTAGTATGCACTGTAGTGACCATGACATTTTACTCCATCAAACATCACGTTCAGACTTGTACACATTTTGTTTTACTTTGCACCCGTCCAAAGCCTATATATACTGGACTGTGATTTTGAACCAGGTCCGCCATCTTGCCCGCGCGTTGCAGGCTGTTGCGCTCCTACGTGGTGTTACTCATTGCTTCACCATTTTCTCCCATTGTCCTCACGCTATATTCACATAGCTATTGTACATAGCTATTTTCTCAAGACAATCTTTATATCCCGCCGTCTTCTGTCTTACCGGGCTACGAATTTCTTGTGTAGCATTCGTCAAGGCGCTACAGCACTCATATTTGTCCTTGAAAGAGACTATCATCAGAAATACTCAACGACACGTCATCCCCTTCACTGTGTATTGTTGTAACGTGTGCAAACTTTTCAAAAAGAAAGATGTATAAATCCATATATATACCAGTACACGAGAGTAACGTTTATCAACTCCCTAAGCTTAACCAAAGCAAAGTAGTTCAAGAATTAGCAAAACAAATTTGGTCATGTTGATAATGATTTTTCTCAAGTATTGGTCCACTTTTTGTACAGCATTTACATCTTGCTGTATCGCTAAAAGCGCGGGGTTCCAGCTTAATATTCACTGTTTCAGTGCCCATTAGCCACTTACATTGGCCACGAAGACGAATTTCCTTCGAACATACTTTGGAATGCTATAGACATCACCACTACTTTTTACTCGCCCATTTCGTCTTCGGTGTTGTTACAAAAGCATCCTGACATAAGGGTATCATGTCGCTCTTAAAATTATTCATGACTTCGTACCCCACTGGCAGCTGTGCTAATGAGATGCAGCCTGCCACCTTGTGTCATCCCAATCCAGATCCAACTCTTTTCAGTTAACGACGGAGAAAAAAGAGAGTCCTCTAGAAAGTGCATGCTTTACTGTTCAGCCCACTAGTATGGTATAACACGGTAAGCACCCTAGCCGAAAAAGCTGGGAACCATTAGCCGAACACATATCGGCTTGGTCAACAAGTTTCGAACCCAGATGATGGAAACTTTGTGGCCCAAATGTAAACAGAAGTCTATAAAAGTTATTCCTAGGGTGACAAATATTTATTGATCATTTTCCTTATCTTGCAAGCAGTCTTTGCAGCAGCAAGCATTGACAAATGTTAAAAAGTTGCTTTCTTTCCTTTATTGCATCACTGCGTTACATAAATTCGTAAAAAACAATAGTTAAAGAATTGTTATAAGCTTATACAAAGTGCTGCGATGCAACGCTTAATACACAGCGAAGAATCGAACACAGAAATTGCGATTACACGCGCACGTTTATACATACTAAAATACAAACTTCAATGTTTAATCTTTTATTTCGCGAATTTGAAGGGCAATTAATTAACTGGAGAATGATTTTTAACAGAGTTGTTACTGCGCGGACACAAAGGTGATATGAAATTGCAATGTCTCATGAAGGCGCTAAGTTAGAAGGGTAACTATTACAAACATGCAACAAATCATTGTAAACTAAATAATGACTATTGCATTTGGTGTACATATTTTCGCTTTGGGTAAAATAATTGAACCTGATAAAGCAATCTTGCTGAATAAATATTTTAATCAAAGGGTACGTGTTATTCAGTTCTTCGTTTACGTATTTATTCGTGAAGCTGGTTCAAACTAGCACGCTATCCTCTGTGAGTGATATCGTGTAGCTCTACTCTCCATATTTCATGGTTCGATGCGCGTCAGCAAGCGAAATGTGCACTAGTTTAAATGACTTTAAGGCGTTATACGAACATATCTGTTTTATGCAGCGAGTTGTTCCCAGTCGAATTGTGCTTCGAAGTATTAAGAATGGATTCTTCAAATTAGCGTTGGACCAAATCAAGTACGCATAAATCATAAAAATTCATGTTTTCTTAGGCTTTCAGATTTAAAGCCTGTTTTGTATTGCCTCAGCCTGGATAATACGCTGGATTGTATATCCATTTTTCTAACTAAGGCAGGAGTGCAGCCAGCTGGAGGTGAGAGCATAATTTAAAGAAGCTTGAGCCATTTGAAACACTATTATCCATGTTATGATTTTACAATTTTTTATTGAGATGCCTGTTACTACAACTATTCGTTATTACATCTGTAACAAGCTTTTTTGCCTCACTTTAACATGTTGACTATCCTTAAGTTCTGTCCCTTTGCTTGAAGAGAGGGTTGAAAAGTGACGAGACGGTTAGGTACTGAGACAAACCGGACCATCTTCATACCGTTATTCACCCTTACAGTACTGTTGGTGATCCTGTCTGCGCAGCTGGGCTGCCAGTTTTCTCATTTGGACGTGTAGATATAGGGTAGTGTAGATATAGCCTAGTATATCTAGGTATGTTGTTCGTTGGAGTTCATTGGAATAGTAGAGAGCAGAAGGAGATCCTTTGTCAGCTCCCCTACTTGCCGTTCAAATTAAGGATATCGCGGATCCTTGCATAACGTTATTCTATAGCGGACCATCACGATCGCAACGGAAGCAACATGGGCCTTGCTTACGCAACAGATAGGAGTGCAACAGTCGTTTGCAACTTTCCTACCACTGTGCGTTGACGACTGGCTCAGATAAATTGTTCCAATCCTTCACCACACATTGGACAAGGTAACGTCGGAATGGAAACGAGTCACCTGGGCTTAAACAAGTTACAGACATGACCCGTGTCGAACTACGAACTCGGACATGAAAGAATTCCTTCAGTTCATTACCCATCATCACACGCGGTATGCGTCTGGTGTATATCAGCTCGCCGCAACGACGATACTCCAAGGAGAACATGTGCATTGTTCGAAGCTGTTGGGTGTAGGACAAATTCCGGATCGCTGAGATCGATTTCGACCCTCGCCGTTGGACCCTCTCTATAAGAACACGATCGTCCTTTGTCAGAGGATAAACCGCAGCTGAACTATATTCGAGAATAGGACGCACCTAGGAAGTAAAAAGGATTCTGAAGATTTCAGGAGTCATTCGGGAAAATGAGCTCCTTATGGCACAATACATCCTATTAGCAGCCGCTTACTCTTCTCAAGATATCTTGGGTTGTGCGCAAATCAGGAGTTCCAAGTACACTAAGTCCTTCTCACAACCGCGTTCTTGAACAGAAACCACCAAGGTGATAAACCCAAAATGGGTACGGAGCACCTATCATAATTGATGAACAACTGTCACTCCAATGCCTAGCTGTGAAGCCTGTCTAGTGTCGCTTGCAGTCGATCAGCGTCGTCGAGTTCGAACAGCTCTAACCATAGCTTTAAATCGTCAGCATATAGCAAGCAATCCGTTCGGATCTCTGATAGGTCGTTGATGAATACTTTAAACAAAGAGCCAAGGACGGTACCTTGCGGAACTCCACTGGCAATTAGGACTCGCTCGGAGTGTTTCATTTACCTTTACACGCATATTGCGGCCATTCAAATAATCGGCGATCTAAGAGACTATCTCCCGAGAAACACAAATTCACCGACCTTTAAGGAGAATCCGTTTGTGCGGGACTTTATCAAATGCTTTTCTGAAGTCGACAAAATGATCTCCAGGCGATTGCCGGCATCCAAGGATTTATCACATTTTTCTCTGGCCAAAAGTAGGTTGGAGGCACACGAGCGTGCACTCCGGAAGCCATGCTGCGCGGGAGAGATGACATTCATGTTATCAAGGTGGCGATTCAAGGCACTCTTTACAATTTTCCCCATGATTTTACACACTATGGATGTTAAACAAATCGGCCGAGAGTTCCCAGGATCCTGACTATTCCAACCTTTGTATATGGGCTTAACGATACCAAATTTCTAAGAAAGTTGGAGAAGTCCTCCTCGAGTGATCGCTAAAACACTTGGCATATAGTTGCAGCAATTTACTCAGCTACCATTTTGAGAAACAGAGGGTGAAACCCGTCAGGACCCGGTGAGAAATTTGCGTTTGATCCCAGAAGTATTTTCGTGACTGAATCAGTGCTTATTTCTGGTGTGCTAGGGTGGAGGGAGGCTTAAAGACCAGACTATTGGGCAATCGAGAGTTCAGAGGAAATGTGTGAGGCCAAGACCTGAGCCTTTTGGTCATCTGCATGAATCATACTGCTATTTTTGAAAGAAAAGAGGGCAGGTATCCTATTTCCAGCTTTGGTGTTACGATTCAGGCAGGAGAAAAGAAGCTTGGGTGCAGTTATCGATTCTACGCTTAAACAACGTTCATATTGCTTCTATCTTTTTTCTCGCCACTTTAAAGTGCGCAGGTTCGTGGCCGCTTTATAACTGCAATGCCCTAAGGTTGATTGTATAGCTTGGAACTTGTCCCACAATTTGCGTTGTCAATTCATAAGGGACCTTAATTAACGAACACACCAAGGCGAACCTTTAGGGAAACGTTTACTTCTAGTGAGTGGAACAACTTGCTTAATAAGCAACATGAGTTTGGAGTACGAAAGACTAGACATTACCAGGGTCTAAGTGCTGAGGCATACTCCAGTCCATAGTGCCATAGTTCTTAAACGATTTGCATCAACTCGCCAGAAAATTCAACGGTACAGCTTTGGGTCATGAATGGCAAGACGTTGCATCTAACAGAAGGAAACAACACAGAGATTGCTCGTACCCAATGTCTGGAGAATAATCAAGTCAGAAACAACAGACTGTGCCGGTGTGAGCACAAGGTCGAGTGTGTGCGGCGACTGACCCGAACATATCCTAGTGGGCTCTGCAACATGCTGAAACTGATGACATGCAGGGATGGTTTCAAGAAAAACAGCGTCAAAAGACGCCGCCGAAAGATCGCAATTTAGTAAGTCATAAACGATACCAGCAGCGTTAAAGCCTTTCAGTATCAGACAATCCATGCCACCACCATGCGTCTTAACAGAATGCAGCAAGCTGGCTCCGAAACCCGAAGTGTCTCTGTAAATATCGCTAATCACTAGAGACTTGCATCCATCATGGGTCCAGCACCAAAGAATTTCAAATTCACTATCATCGTACCAGACATCTTCCATGGAGGTCCTCTGAGATCTACTTTCCAGTAGATAATCACCACCGCGCAGTCCTCGCTCCAGAACGATTGGCCTGAGAAACGTTTTACCCCGGTATGCTGTTGGATATTATTCCACATCATTAATAGCATGATCTTTTAATTCCAATAAAACTGACACTGAATGATTTTTGTTTCTCTGGCCGTACCAGTGAGTGTAATTTGGGACAACTTTTGGTCATTCAACTAATTTTCCTTTCAACCTTACCATATCAGCTCTGCATAATTACGATTTAAGAATCGATTTCCTTCCAATGTGGAAGGTATTTTAACTAAGAAATTGCACTCGCGGTATTGGCCGTCTGCATCGGAAAAATTTCTTGAGTGGCCAAAATTCGTCCAAGTTGTGTCCTACCAAATTAACAAGGGCGAACAAACCGTCACTCAGGGCGATCCAACGGTCACTTCAGTGGACCATTTTCGGTCACGCCTTGTTTGCGGAAGCCATCTATAAATTTTTATCTTATTACATTTGATACATCGAAAATGAAGAAAACTCGAAGCAATTCGTGTGATAAAGCTTGCTGTGACGCTAAAAATTAGAGGGCATCTATGACACCATCTTAACATATAAGCCATTTCTATTTAATAACCTCATACAGATGGGCAGTCGTTAGTGGCTATGATAAATAGGTTGGATCTTACTGTAGTCCGATGGTTTGCGTGCCTCAGAGATTCACTGAGCTATGCTTTGTGGTGCTTTTTGCGCCGTCAGAGCCACTTATACCAGATTGGTCAATGGTTAGGGGCCAGACAACCAGCCTCCTAGTCCTCCAGTTTAGGAGTTGGAAATAAGTTCAGCACCTTATTCCATAGAACGAAATCCTTTCATCCCACGCCAGACCCACTGCCTTGTGGTCAGATTTTTTGGCTGGAAACCCTAATCGTTCTCCTGTTTAGGAATAGGCAACCTGACAGTACTCTGCCTACGCCATGCAATGAATCACTCTTCAGAACAATTTCTTGCTGCTCAGGCCGTAAAAGATGATAAAAAGGCGCTCTATTTGCTGCATCGAACAGAGTGCATGGGGTGTGGATGTTACCGCTCAAGCCCTCCTGCCTTCTTGTTTCACACTTGTGCTTTCTCACCCTTAATGACAGGTTCCAACATTACTTTTATTCCACAGTTTTTAACCCCCGATTCCTGGCCCTCACGCAACAAGCTTTGCTAAGCGTGTAGCTTCTATTTTCAACTTACTTGTGAACGCGGAGCGTCATTTCTGTCCTGTCGACAAGCCCATGTACAACCAAGCGGCCAATCCCAGTTCATCGGCTTCCATTTGGAGCTCTCGATCTTCCTTCAGAATGGCATGTCTCAATGTGCGCACATCGCTACAGATCGGTCAATAAACATCACTTGCTCGAACATAAGTGACCTTCTCGATTGTTATCTGCTGCTTTTCGGAGACCCGCCTGCAAGACTCGTTCTCTGGGCTCACTTTGCGATCCTGTTCATATGACACCAGCACCATTTTACCAGTGCGCCTATCCGGTGACAATGCAGCTTCGAGCACCAGCCAAACAAATCTTGGTATTATCCTGAGTCTCTGGGCTGAAGCTGCTCTGGTTGATTAGATCCCAATCAGTTGTCGGATGTGTGCGGTCCGACCAGCTGGCTCATTCAAAGCTTTGAAGTCGCGTGGAACTAATAGGTGTCCATTCGTTATCATTGCCTACGCGTACACCAACTCTAACGATGATACGGTAAAAATCGACTTCTACCGCCAACTGACCGAGCTTTTTCGCTACAGAAGAAGCACAGACGCTATAGTGCTGGCTGGGGATTTGCAAGTTATCCATTGATGAAGTGCATCTGGGCGACCAAAACGATGTAAGCTCCCGTAATGATAACGGTGAACGGTTACCTCAGCTATTGTGCCGCAATGCAAAAAAGAGAAAAGGGGAATAAAATGCAACAGGTGTAAGCCAGCTACTCTACTGGTAACGGATGGGTATCGTTCCGCTAAGCTG